AGCTTTATCTCCGCCTGGTGTGTCTCCTAGTGTGGGAGGGTTGCTCCCCATCCTGAATATTCGAAACGCAACCCGGGGTCATGTGATTTTCTACTGGAGAAGAGGGTTTTCCATTCCAGGAAGCACCTGGGCCAAGGGCTTCCGTGCCCGGCCTTGGGAGGGGTTTGCAAACACCCCTTGCCGGGCACAAGGGCACGGTCAACAGGGAAGTCCCAGCAATTGACAGGGGCTCACTCTGGGCCCACTTCAGTCAAGCACCATTCACAACCCTCGGCTCGCAGGAAAGAGGCAGCGCCGAGGCTCGGACCCCACGTCCCTCCACCCACATGATGTCCCCACCTGGTGTCCAGCCCACACCTGGCCGCCCAGGACACAGAGGGAGGAAGGGCCGGGCCCGGTGACTGTGTGAGGAGGCGTGGAAGCCGCCCTCCTGCTCCCTGTCACACCAGGGCACAGGTCATTCTGTGGCTCTCCCAGGGCTGTGGAACGAGGCGGAGAACAGGTGGCTGGTGTCCCCGCAGGGCCTCTGAAGGGAGGAGGGAGGAGGGCAAAGGGGGAAAGAGGCAGAAGGGAGGAAACAGATGGGCCAAGAGGAAGCCGCAGGGGGCTGTGGGCAGAGACGGGGAGTCTCAGTGAAGAGAGGAAGGAGGAGGGAGAGGAGGGAGAAGGAGCAGGGGGAGGAGGGAGGAGAGGGGAGGAGGAGCAGGGGGAGGACGGAGGAGAGAGGAGGAGGAGCAGGGGGAGGAGGGCGGAGTGTGGTGAGCCCCCGGGGCCTGAGTCAGGATGGAAAGAGGCAGAGAGGCTGGTGGCCTGTGGCTCGGCGGCCGATCAGATGTCCCTGTGCCAGGACAGCAGCCGCCCCCCAATGTTCCGTGCACTCTCTGAGGCCCTGTCCGGGCGTCCAGCTTGGGGTGGGAGACAGCCGGGTGTGTGGGGAGCACCTGCAGAGTGGACGGGAAGCAGCTGGGCGGAGGCAGGAACGGGCCCCAGGCAGACCCCTGACCCGGGGTCCTGGTTCGCCCCCGGGGAGAGATCCCAGGCGTGGGCAGCGCTGGGAGAACCCACTTCCACCCACGGAGGCGTCACAGGCTGCTCAGGGCCCCGACGAGGCCCACGGGGGCCGGGAGAGGTGGGAACCTGCAGGGGACGACCCCGGTGGGTTTGCTGGCCAAGGCGCTCAGAGCCTGCAGGCCTCAGTCTGCCGGTCCCGTGCCTTGTCCCCGGGGCTCAGACGACAGCACCTGTTCACCTCGACCTGGGGGCTCCGGGGGACCCACCGTAGCCGCGGCCAGTGCCCCGAGTGGGGCCCCCGTCCGTCAGAACCTCAATGTCCCCTGCAAGGGTCCCTCTGAACACAGCTTGGGGACGTCCTTGCTGTCTGCAAACCCCTGACTGGGGGACTCCGGGGACACTGCTGGGTTCCCTGGGGGATCTTCCTTCCCCCATTCCTGGTCTGTGAGGACCCGGACCCCTGCCCTGACCCTGGGGGACTCCGGGGACACTGCTGGGTTCCCTGGGGGCATCTTCCTGCCCCCACTCCTGGTCTGTGAGGACCCGGGCCCCTCCCCTGACCCTGGGGGACTCCGCGGACACTGCTGGGTTCCCTGGGGGCATCTTCCTGCCCCCAGTCCTGGTCTGTGAGGACCGGGGCCCCTGCCCTGACCCTGGGGGACTCCGGGGACACTGCTGGGTTCCCTGGGGGCATGTTCCTGCCCCCAGTCCTGGTCTGTGAGGACCCGGGCCCCTCCTCTGACCCTGGGGGACTCCGGGGACACTGCTGGGTTCCCTGGGGGACCCCGGCCCCTCCCCTGACCTGGGCACTGGGGTCCCCGTGTGAGTTTGGGGCGGTGTTCACGGCCCAGCCGGGTGGGGACAGACGCGTGGCGGGGCGGGACGTCCCTCCTCCTCCGGCAGGAATGTCCGTGCCAGCCAATGGCAGCGGCCGGGGTGTGTTTTAGGGACAGTCCCCCGCAGACACCGGCGGGAGCGGCCAGGAGCTCTGAGACCCGCGCGGCTGGAAGGTGAGTGTGTCCACCCCGTGCTGCTGATGCCGGTTCCCCTGAGGGGGACGTGGGGGCCGGGGACAGTGCCCGCTGCGGGCTGGGGATGGGGAACCCGCGTTTCCATCATTGAGGTTCCTTCTCCTCCTCCTTCCGAGAGCCTTAGCCGGGGGCACGGGCCGGGGGACGGTCGCCTGGGATCCGTGGCCTGTAACCCTCGCAGGCCCGGAATTGTCTGCTGGGCCAGAGCCGGTGTGGACACGGCCCGGGACGGTCAGGGAATGAGCCTGGGGGCCACGGCTTGCTGGACCGGTCGGACGTCCTCACTCAGCCGCGGGGACCTGCATGGGGACAGGTCGGGGCAGCTGGGACTGTGGGGACGGTGGACTGGGGGGGTTGCTGGGATCTGAGCACGCAGGTCCTTCCGTGGATTCACCCAGCAGCTATTCGCCCCGTGCGTGCGTTCCAGGTGCGGGTCACGGCCACTCACGGCTCTGGGACGCGAGCCTCCCCGAGGACTCAGCGGGCGGGAAGGTGTAGGTGTCTCACCTGGCTGGCGGGTCACCGGGCGGCTCGGCCCGTCCGTCATCGGACCACTGAGGGGCGTCCCCCTCCCTGTCCCTCCACGCCCCGACCCGTCCCCAGACAATCCAAGGTCCCGGACCAACTGAAGGGGCGTCCCCTTCCTGTCCACGTCCTGGCCTCCACAGACATCCCAGGGTCCCGGACCACTGAGGGGCATCCCCTCCCTGTCCCCATGTCCGACCCCTCCCCCACACATTGACCAAAGTTGAACAGGAAAGGAAGGCCCAGGCGGCCCCCAGTCCCAGCCACGTCTGCCATC